AAAAAAAAAAATAAAGTCGATGGAAAATCACTGGAAAGTCTTTTGCCTCGATCTTCCAGGCATCGATTCTTGAGAATATATCAACGAATTCAATGAAACTTTAACAATACAGAGATTTGCTTTCTGCAAATGTTTACGTTTTGATTGCAACAGTATTTTTATATCATGCAAATAATATCTGCAACATTAAAATATATAATAGGTCGAACAATTTCTACATGAATATTGTTTGATGTTTAAAATCATTTTATAATATAATAATAATATTAATTGTTGAACCATTTGCGTGATTTCGATTGTTGAGGAAATATAAAATGAAATATGATTGCAACTATAAATATAAATATCCATATAATATATTATATAACATGTAATAATTTTATAATTCTTATTCTATCAACGAGAGAATGAGAAAGAGGAGAGATGATTATTATATTACCTCGTAAGAAATTGTCTAATAGGATATTTTCGAAAGATTCACGCGGCAAATGTTGATGAATGTTCATTAATCTCGCGTTCAAGTCGCATTCCTCATTAATTTGCATCGCGAAGCGTCATCATACAATCGATATATGCACATAGTACGAAAAGCTCGCTATCCAAGTGACGGCATATGCATGTATATATGCATGCGCTCGCTAGTTACGTGCATATGCGCAACGCTGCATACGGGGTCATTGTCCGCACGTGTTCTATTCCCATCACTAATACATTCGCTGACAACGAACGGCAAAGCATGCTTGAGGGTGAAACGGAATTTTTCGCAAATTTGTAAGAAACAAGATAGAAGTTTGCAAAAAATCGCTCAAGATCTAAATATACTCGCGTTTATTTTATTTTATTTATATTTTATTTGTTATTTTATTTCATTATTTCGTTAATCTCGAAATCATGACATTCTCGCAAAAATGCAAGAAAGAGCAATAAAATTTAAAAAAATACCCCTTGTCATTTATTTAACAAGTTATGAAATTCTGCATTTCCATGAAATTGTAATAAATATTATTTATTTTTTATATAATGAAATATATTTCGATAAACAATTATTCTCTTGTAATTAAAAAAATAGTATATAACCTGTTTTATTTATTTATTAGTTCTAATTAATTCAAAACATTGCAATTTCCATAAATCAAACTACTTTCATTGAACAATCACTCGATAATAACTGTTTTTTTTTTTATTGATTAATACTTATTTATAAATCATAAAGATATTTTTGTGAGCGAAGAATTAAATAAAAAGGACATCTTGATCAAGTACATTTGATATATCTATTAATTAATTATATATAATAATAAACTGTCGATAAGTTAATTAATGAAATCGATGATTCAGAAATCTAGTAAAGCGATTCTCGCCAAAATTAGGAATAAAGAGAGAACGTAAAAAGCGATAAAACTCTGGAAAATATTACGTAACGCAAAAGCGTTGCTGCGTAGATTCCCAGAATGACGAGGGGAGTAAAGTCACTATTCCATTCATGGGATTCGTTGGCTTTAATGGGGTCTCGAGGACGAATAGGGAGGGCTGGAATCCCTTTCTGTCGAAAAGGATCTGAAGTTGAAGGTCACGCATCCCCTCGCGAAAATTACGCAGTTTGAACGCAATCGATGTCGCACGTTGCACGAAGGTTTAGGCTCAAAAAATGTATGTCTTAAATCGCCTAAAACGCCATAAAGTTATTCGCAACGAATGACAAAGCAAAATTTTAATGAGCTTTATTTAAAAACCGTCTGGTTTTTATATCATGTCAGTTTAATTGATTGATAAGAAAATTTTATAAATCAATAAAAAATTATAAAAAGGGTTTGTCAGCTTTAAATTTGACAACAAATTTACAGTTCAATAAAAAAAAAACATGACTTTTACGAGAGAGAGAGAGAGACGCTTTATCTATGTCTATTTATATAAATTTAATCATCAAAATATAAGTAAGTTGTGAACTGTTTAAATGAATAAATAATTAAATATATTTATCAATTAATTAAATCGTATGTTTCTCGAATAAACGAAATATTATATGATTAGGTGATCAAGAGAGCTAGTATGTGGATTAATTCCCCGAAGCACGATTTAATCTTAAATATAATTAAATTTCACGCATAATTTTAATCGAAGAATAGATATGGAAAATCTAGAAATGCCGAAACAAGAATCTCAGGAGAATCTATTTTTTTGAGATTTTTGCAAAAATAATATTTTATTTATTATATATAAACAGAAAGGGAAAGTTACTTTTATCTTTAAAATATAATATTTAGCTTCTCCTGCTCTATACATATTTATACAAAGTAATCGCGTATGTATGTAGAAATATTTCAAACATAAATTACAAGATATTATCGAAAATATACTTTGAAACGTAAATATATTCATTATTTGTAGGAATAATTGGACAGAAATAAAGAACGATAAATATAAAAAGAATGCTCATACAAACGCGAAATACTATAATTTCAAATATTTATATCATGTACGTATTCTCGAAATTGTGATGACGATTGTGAACTCGATGCGCATTTCGATCTCCCCCATTAGTGCATTGGGGGGTGGGGAGGGGGGAGAGGTTAAGATAGACGCCGTGTCTCGAGATATCCCTACATATCCCGTCACGGAGATGGTGCGCAATAACCATCATTCCATTGCCCATCCATCCCCTCGCATGCCCTTTTCGCCCATTCCGCAATGAGGAGGTGCTTACATTATGCATTTCCATCGGACGAACTCGTGTCGCTGTTTACTCACATACGCGCGTTGTATAATCGTCAACAAACCCTCTCTCTTTCTCTCTCTCTCTCTCTCTCTCTCTCTCTCTCTGTATAACAACCCTCCGCGACCAGCCGCCGTTTCCTCCCCTCCCTTTTCTCGGTTCTCGTCCTCAATCCCTTCTAGGCTCGCTTAGATCCTCGATCTCTCTCTCGTTCTCCCCCTTCGTCTGTCCTCCTCCAGCTCGCGATTCACGTGACCAGGACAGTCTATTGATTCCTCGAGGGTAGTGCATGCGCCCTCGTGTACGCGATCTCTGCTGTCAAGGGGGTTTGTATACGATGGAGGGGATAAGTTTGGAGGAAGGTCCAATGGAGGGGATGCTGGCGACGGGGAAAACGAAAAGAGAGAAGGGTGGTCGGGGAATATATACGATATCGAGAAAAAGATGGAGAAAAACAAGGAGAGAAAAAGAGAGAGAGAGGGAAAAGAAAGACGGAGATAGGATGGAAATTGTATGTCGTTTTCTAATGTTTTTATATATTTTTATGGTGATGGCACACATTTTTATATAGGAGACTGAAATAGATAGTGTCGGGATTAAAGCGAGAATTGAGAGTGTAAAAAAATGAGTGATACTACAGTTTAAATATGTATGTATTGTGTAAGCTGTTTTGCCTAAAGTATCGTAAATATCTCATATTTCATTGTTTCATTTAAATATTATTTTATATTATGTTATTTTATATAGAAGAAAGTTGATTATTTGTGTACTAATTAGGTTGGAGATCTCCGTATTAATAGCGAAACTAATCATCATTAGAATTTTAAAAATTTCTTTCGCCGAATATAACATCTAATGATAAAACTATCGCAATTGAATAAGAGTATTTCGCCGGTTTTTTTGCATCACATCTATGCTTAATTATCAGTATCCAAAATTTATATTACTGATTAAATTATTGTT